TTCTGCTTCAAATATTGTGATTGAGGGACCAGGTTCCTCTATGTCTGCTGGAGTCTCATCTTCAGTTCTGAGGAACAAGGTCCATGTAAATCTGGATTAATCATCCATACTGACGAGAATATGCACCTCTTTCCTCCTCTACTTGGCATCCTCATAGGGTCACATAGATCCATATGGATGAGATCAAGTGGCCTTGAAATACTAACTTCCTTTTTGGGATTGAAAGAGGATCTGACTTGCATTCCTTTTACACATGCATCACACACTCTGTGATCCTTGAAGCTTGATTTGAGCAGACCATGAACCAGGTCCTTCTTGACTTATTTGTTCAGCAGCCAAGATCCCCTTGTCACAAATTTGGGAAATACCCAGCAGAATCTCGTAGAGGCTCAGGTGCTTTACTGTTCAATGGACTCATACTGTTCCCGATCCTTCCAACTCCCAGAATGTATCCCTTCTTGCCATTTTCAAAGGATACACTCCTTCCTTGCAGGGCCTTCAGTGAAAGGAAATCATTTGTTCTTCCAGTTATGAGCTTCGAGCAGTCGCTATCCATGTGCCACTGTTGACTGCTCCCTTTCACTGTTCCCTGCACACTTAAGTCAATGATTAGACTTAGGAACCCAAGCCAGCTTGGGTCCCTTATAATGATAGAACGGGCGGATCAAACTTCTTTTTGCCCATGCAGGCAGCACATATTTTCTTTTCAGGCTACCAAGTTCCTCATCATTACGCCTCTTTTCAATAAAAATTTTGTTTTTCTGTAAAGACTGAATTTTAACTTTACAAGAGTCCGTGTAATGACCAGTTTGACCACAGTGAGTGCACAACCTATTATCAGCCACAGTTGCATACTTTCTATGGGGATTATAGGAGGTTTTAGCCTTTTGGAACCCGATGCCTTGCCTGTTTCCACCATTACTCCTGTATATAGACGTTGTCACATCAGAAGACCGGGTCCATTTTAGTGACTTATCAAGACCATTTTTAACCCTTTTTAAATCCTCCTGAAGTTGTCTATTCTTTTCAAGCTCAACAACAAGACTTGTTTTAATTTTCTTAAGCTCACTCTCAAGCTCAAGTTGAGCCTTTCTAACCGCTTCCTCTCCCTCAGTGTTGTCCATCCATTTTTTTGTTTGTTTTTTCAACAAGTTGTGTTCTCTAGTTACTTCTTCCATTTGTTCCCTTAAATCTTCAAGGGAAACTACCATATTATCCCTTTCTTGCTCCGTAGCTGCAATTTTCTCTACTAGAGTATTCTTCTCTTTGCTAAGGTTCTCTATGGTTTTCTTCAAGTCAACAACCACTACCATCAAATCATCTCTAGATTGTTCAGCATCTCCTAGCTCTATGATTAGGGCATCATTATCATTAACAAAACTATAATATGTATCAATTAGAACATTTGCTAATGACATCAATTTCATCAAAGAGTAGGACTTCAGATTTCTCTGAACATCCCTGAAATTTACCTCATCATTGTTATCCTCTTCATCGTCATCGGACTAAGTCATCAATGCAAACAATGAATCATCTTCATTTTGCATTGCCATCATGGAGCTGCTTCCTGCATTTGGTTCCTCTTCTGATTCACTGGAGGAGTCTCCCCATGCAGCAAGAGCTTGCTTCACAACATTGTCAGCTGTATTTTTTCGGCTGAGTCGTTTGTCAGGAACCAGGTTCCTCTTTGCTACTTTGTCAGAGTTGTGTTTGTGATGCTCTTGTTTCAGAAATGGGCAGTCTTTGATGAAGTTTCTAGGCTTTCCACACTTAGAACAGCAATCATTTCTTTTGGAATTCCTGCTGGAACTTCCTTTCTTTGGGATCCTACCATTTTTGCGACCCATCTTCTGAAATCTTTGTGGTATATTGGTTGATTGAATTTCCTCGAAGTTTGGTGGAGCAGCCATGTAGATCCTTTCTAGGTGTTAACCTTTTAGAAAGAACATGCTCTAATACCAATTGTTAGAAGCTAAGCGTCCACCAGACTGTATAGAGAACCGGGTTCTCTGTGAGTTTCCACTGAAGATACTGAGGAGCCGAACTGTATAGCGAGCTGGTCCTATATCAGTTTGGTACAGTGCTAACTGCGGAACCAGTATGTAGATAAGACGCAGGATAAGTTCCCACTGTATAGAGAACCAGATTCTCTAGCAGTTCCTACTGTAAGCAACAAACTGTGCAACCGGTCAGTACAGGGAATCACGTTCTCTAATTGTTACTACAGTAGCTCGGCAGTAAGTAAAGAACACAGAGAATTTTTACGTGGAAAAATCCCAACTCAAGGGGACAAAAATCACGACCTACACTTGTAGGCTTTCAACTTCACTAACTTGTAAACACCTATTACAAGCCACTTTGTAATACCTCTATTACAAAGGATTCAACTCCACTAATTTGTGGCACTCTCACCACAAGCCACTTTGTGACTCTCTAGTTACAAAGATTTTGACTAACTTGTGATACTCTCACCACAAGCCACTTTGTTACTCTCTAGTGACAAAGACTTTAATCACTCTAACTTGTAATAACCCTATTACAAGCTACTTTGTAATAACTCTAGTACAAAGGCTTTACAACTCAACTAACTTTAGCCAAGACACAAACTTGGAGGGTTTGTGATTTTGGGTTTCCTAAAACAGCTTCTAAGAAAGCAAGATAGGAGTTACAATTGAAGAACAAATAACAAAGACTCAACAAACCTAAGGACTTAAGACATCTTCAATCTTGGATCCGGTCCTTGAGATTGAAGCAGCTTTGTTCTTGAGAGAGGTTGTTCTTGCACTTGAGAGAATATTTTCGTTTCAGATTTTGCAAGTCTTGAGAGAGATGCCTTGTGTCTTGCTCCAGGTTTTTATTATAAAAGACATCACCTTAGTGATGTCAAATCTTGGTTAGTACATATGCCTCTTCTCAATGGGAAGTGACTGTTGCACTGTCTGCAGAACTGTTGCGTGTACAGTTGCAGGCAATCACTGCAGTTGCTTTCCAGCTGTGTTGTTGACTTATACTTCTGTCAGGGGAACACAAAGGTATTAGGTCCCTAATCTGGTTCCTGTGAATATGAAGGCATACTGCCCAAATTATCTTGAGTTGATTAACATGATTGTACCAGGCATACTTCAGGTCCTTTATCTTGTTCTCTCATGAAGTAAGTTGGTTTACTTTCCTTGATGGTATTTATACGTGTGTGACATCACTTACAATGATGTAAGCAAGGTAGGTAAAAAGCCTTCCACAGAAAGTTGACTGTTGCACTGTTCCTATACAATAGCGTGTACAGGCAGCAACTTTCCTGCTGGAGAGTTGACTTCATACAGTCTCCTCGGAAACTGGTAGGGATCTGTTCCCTCAGTTGTTCCTTCCACTCTTCCTCACTTGAGTCATTGCTATCAGATTTGATTACCAAGTTCTTTTCTTTCTTTGGTTCTCTTCTTTCACTGTCTATCTTCCTCTTCATCTAGTAGGTCTTCAGATTTCCAACCAGCTCTTCTATGGTCAGCTCCTGCAAGTCCTTTGATTCAGCAATAGCATTCACCTTGCTTTCCTAAGGGCTGGATCCCAACCTGGAACTTTGTGATCTCAGGGTCTTGTAAATGTGTAACAAGTTCCTTATCTGGTTCTAGATGGTAAGTTTGTTAGATCATCAAAACATAAAGTAAAGTACTTGTTCCCAAGGTACTTGTAACCTATCACATATACCTTTCTGGTATTTCACCTCCACCTGATTTCCTCAAGAAAGTTAGAAAACTACCCCATGCTACACATCAAGGTGTACTCCTGAGTGCCTTTAAACAATTAAATGCTCTCCTTAATATCATAATATAATTACTAGTTATCTCCAGAGAAGACCTATAGACAAAAAAGATGGCCACTCTTTCTTTCTTTCTTTTTATTCTTTTCAAATGAAATGCAGATGGCTCCAATACATCATGCACCAAGCAGGGATTTGAATCCAGGCCTTGCAAGAATTTTTCTTCCTAAAACTATTATGTCCTAATAAAAAATAAAAAAATAGCTGAGAGAAACAGTCATCCACCTTTGACATGAAAGAACAAGAAGCAGAAGAGCTCAACCAGCAAAAGTTTCCAATTTTATCCTGGTTAATACTGAACCTATACACATATATCTTCAGAATATCTTGAACAAATATTTGATCTCCCTTTTCTTATGTATATTATCTCTACTAAGATATCACATCTTAAAAGAGTCTGCCCTTGTCTTCCAACCTTAATATTAGATGAAAAGAAATAATACATAAAGCAAGATCACAGTTATGCAATATTCTTACATGAATAAGAAAGAGCCTTTTCTTTAACATCTTTTCCCACATTTAGACTTGCACTATCCTAAAGTTGGTCTTAAATAAAGTGAACTCATATATCTTGTAAGAGCCTTCTCTCCCAGCCTTATCATAAGAAGGAAAAAGAAGCAAGAATAAGCAGCATATCAATTATGCAGTGTGCTTACATGTTATAAGAATAAACATAGAAAGTGGAAAACTAGAAATAGACTGTATCCTCCTTTTGTCAGCATAAATGTTTTACAGAGTGAGTTGATTGTAAAGATGACAACTAGATTCTTCTTTTCATGGAAAAGAAGAAGAAAGGAAATCATTTAATGGGTTCAATGGCAATTAAATGTATGGCGTTCCAGGAAAGATGAATCTTAATTTTCCTTTACTCAAAATTTGCAAGTTCAAGGGAATGCACTCTAAACTGTCTAATTAAACGGAAGCTATGGTTAGAAAAAACCAAGATCTCTCAACCATCAGCTTTCTATCTCCATCAAAACTATATCAATGCCAGTGAGATACCACAAGATCCCTACATTTCAAAACACCTTGATCTTTGATGTGAAGAAGTCAACTTTGAGATGAATAAGGACATGTATTAAACAGCTTCCAATTCAAACAGATTACCTAATAAGAAAGCCAATCGTAAAACCAAAAAAACAAGGAGTTGTATACAAATATCAAGCTGATGAAGAAAGAATCATACTCATCCTTGGATTTCTTGTTAACGGCCTTGGAAAAATCAGAACATACATTCGTAATCTTACAGGCTCCAAGGCTGCAAAATAAGTTGAGCAGTATCATTAGAATCATTCCTGTAGCAAGTAATCATAGAGGCAAAGTCTAACCCAAGATTCCAACTGTGGCTTATTCAACAAAAGATTGATGATCCACTTTCAGAGAGTTTTTGGGGGAAAAAGTATTTATAAAATCCTCACTAAGATATGAACAGATAGCAATTTTTAGATTAAACATTTAAAAAACGGCTTATGTTTCTGATATAAAATCAACTTTGCCTCAATTGCAAATTAGTTAGTGTTTCCTATCTGAATCTTCTGTCAATTCCGCTTTTATGATGCAATGTATATTACTTTCGATCCGCAAGATACAATACATAAGGCCATGTTGCAAATATCAAGTATCTACATAAGCTTTAAGCGAAAGAACATTTATGGCTACTCTAACAAAATACAACTTACCATGCAGAACTTCCTTTCAGCTTGATACAATGCTCAATCAAAACATCAAAGTCCACAACTGGTGACTCACTAAAGTTAAAGAAAGAGAGTAACACAAATCACCAATGTAGGTCAAAACACAAAATGTGCATATCAACACGACGAAAACATACAGGGCCTCAGCCATGTCACGCATAACAGTGCGAGCATCGGATAAAAAGCTTGGAATTAGCTCCAGAAAGAAATAAGGACCGTTGTCCTCCTTCAACGAGTAGCAAATTTGGAAATAGCTATCAACCAAACCCTGCAAAAAGCATCCCCAGTGATTGATATATCTTTAACATTCCACATCATTCAATAATACAAAAACTCAAGTAAACACCTCGAAGAAGGATCTCTGTCTTTAAGTGAACCTAGAAAAACTTAAATAAACAAAAATAAAGACTCTAACTAAAGCAAAAACAAAAAACTACTAATGTACATAAATGTTTAAGCCTACACTGTAGATTCTACAATTACAAGCATTGACAAAACGATGGAGTTACTCAATGTCTCGATAGTGACATGTAAGTCACTGTTTCGAGGCATTAAAACAGCCTCTTTGCTAAATGCAAGACAAGGCTGCAAATTTTATTCGTCCACTCTCCACTTACCATACTAATCGAGGAAGACTTTATGCAAGAGCTATTTAAGACCATAGACAATTCAGGTTCAAAAATTAGAAGAAAAAAATTATACTACTCTCTCTGTCCCAATTTATGTGGCATACTTTCCTTTTTAGTTTTCCCAAATAGAATGTCATACTTCCTTATAAAAAAATAATTTAATTTACTCTTAATGCGATAATTTATAGCCACACAAATGTCTATGGCTTGTTCTAGACCACAAATTTCAAAAGGTTTTCTTTCTCTCTTAAACTCTATGCGCAGTCAAACACTGCCATATAAATTGAGAAAAAGGAAGTATTAAACTACTAGAAAATGCAGCCTTATTGGTATACCTCATCCTCGAGGGACTGGATGCGGTCAAGTACTTGTTGAACGAGTGCGCCTTTATCCATTTTCTGGCAATTGGAAACCTAGAAATAGCAGAGAAAATGAGAGTGGCTGTGAGATTAAGGGACAGACCAAGCGTAGTGCATATAATCAAACTGTTCTCTCTCTCTCGCTCTCTCTCGCTCTCTGTCTCTCTCTCTCTCTCTCTAACACCTTACAAAAGGATCTCTTCAGTAGATGAACATTGACGAAATTTTACACACTGAAAAATAAAGGATTCTAACTAAAACAAAAAAAAATTAGTAAGTACTCCTAATAAACATAAAGGATTAACTATTCTATACGTAATTTGAAGACCACATGCTTGATGCACTGTAACGGCCTTCACGCATAAATGCAGGTGAGAAAACTAAGGTTCGAAATACAGAATTACTGTAGAAAAAGTTTCTAGAATGTGCAGTGCAAATGACGTACCTCGTTTTCGAGAGACTGATAGATATCACCAAGTAGTTGTTGGCTGAATACGTCGGCATCCATTTTCTCGCATTCCATATCCTAAAAACAGCACAAAAAACGTGTATTCCATATCTTTCACAAAACAAATCAAAAAAAAGGAAAAAAGTTCTGGTGGAAAGTTCTAGAAAGTACGGACGCCATTGACGTACCTCTACTTCCATTGTCTCCTGGACACGATCAAGGAGTTTTTGATTGAATGCTTTTTTATTATCCATTTTCGTCAATTAAAAACTCGAAAATTGCAGAGGAAACTGAAGCTGAGTTGTGTAACATCTCTTTATATACAAAATTGACACACAGATTTCATGAATATGGTGGTTTTGGTAAGAGGTTGAAGGAAATAAATTAAACAGCTTAATTCTTCCCAAAACTCTTTAGTTTGGCTGTTGCTTTTTCTGTTTGGTTCAAATTTTTGGCTCTCTTGTTGCAGGCTATTTATTGTTGCCTTATATGGAAGAAAATGACGAAACTGATTAACTACTGTCGCTTTCTTCAACTCAATTTTTCTTTTTTTGGATTTACTTCTCTTAATTATTTTTCATTTTTTACTTTACCTAAGTCAAGGAAAGTGACGCGTTCTAATTTTAGAATGATGACTTTAATATTTATGATCAATAACTTATTTCAAGTACTAATAATTGGATTCTAAATTTAATATATATATATATATATATATATATATATATATATATATATACTTTCTCCGTTCATTTTTAGTTAGCATGTATACTAAAAATAAATTTTTCTTTTTTACTTATCACTTTACGCATATCAAGAGAAGATAAATTTTTTTTTCTGTTATACCCACAGTATTTATTACTCATTTCATATTTTTTTCTCAAATTCAATAAAATATGCATCAATTAATATGGGTATCATGATAAATTATGCACTTCATTTATTATTTCTTAAGGGGCGTAAAAGTCAAAACGTGCCAAGTAAAAGTGAACGGAGGGAGTATTTAACAAATTTTTCAACACAAATATACTATTTGGGCAAAAATTTGAGTTTGGTCGAACAAATATTCAGGCTTCTAGCCCCACCCTTGTCTCGGACTAATTTGAATAGCACATATGAATAGATAAACTACTAATAGGCCCTACACTATGCAAAATAGGGTTAATAAAGTCAATACGTTTATAATATAGGATAGTTCTCCATTTCATAGTTAAATTACTAATATCAACTCTCAACTATTCATAAATAGAAAGAATGAGTCCATGCAAAATCATTATCTCAAATAAAGGGTAATCGTATAGATAAACTTGTGGTAAGAAATCTTTTTTAATGAACTTAACAAGACGTGAATTCGAATTAATCAGAGTAATGAATTTCGAAGACTTAATATCTCTCCATTTCTAAGACAATCGTTAATATCAACTCTCAACTTTTCATAAATAGAAGGAATGATGACCATATACATGCAAACTCATTAAGTAACAACATCCATTGAATAGAATATTAAAATAAAAGAATTACCAGCTTGGAGAAAAATTTTATACAATCTAGACTGTTAAATATGTGACCTTGTATAAAGCAATCTACCAACAAATTACTTATAATCAGCTGTCCCGGCTTACTTATAAACAAGGCCAGTAAGTCAGTAACAAGTCAAACACTACTAGAAAACTGTCAAAATCCATCCACAGAATACCGATCGAAATCAGTCGGAAATTAAGTAAATTGGTCGCAAAAGTCAAAGGAAATATTTCTGACAACGGAAATAGTGGTTCCATAGCAAATATATAAAAATTCCGACCGATTTCGGCCGGTATATTTGAAATTATTCTTTTCCGCCCAAGGCAATTGGTTTTTAATATAACAAAAGTTATATATATATATATATATATATATATATATATATATATATATATATATATAGTTCTATAAGGTGTAGTGCTATATTATGTCACGACTCAGAATCCCCACCATCGGGACCGTAATGGCGCCTAATATTACACTTGCTAGGCAAGCCAACATTAGAGATTTATTAATCAATCCTTTTATGTTTCAGTGATTAACAATAAGCAAGCTATAACAAGTTAAATGAACGCGGAAGTAAATAAATAACAAGTCTGATTATATACTATCACTACCCAGAATTCGGAGTCACAATTAACGAACATTCTAAGATTTTTAATACAAGTATTTGTCCGAAAGAAAATACAATTGTTTACGAAATAGAGAAAACAGTAAAGTATGGGGTATAGAGGGGGACACTAGGGCTTGCGGACGCCGACAGGTCTACCTTGGGTCTCCTATGGAATGAAGTCAGCAGCTCGTCTCAAGATCAGCTCGGGCCGACACTAAAATTTGCACAGGAAGTTCAGAGTGCAGTATCAGTACAACCGACCCCATGTACTAGTAAGTGTCGAGCCTAACCTCGGCGAAGTAGTGACGAGGCTAGGACAAGACACCACAAAACAAACATGTACAATATAACAATATATATATATATATATATATATATATATATATATATATATATATATATCAACCGATATAATTAGAACAGATAAGGACAAGTAATCACAGCAAAAGAAAGTACACGGCATCACCCTTCGTGCATTACTCTCATCCTCACCATATGAATCAAGTAGGAATGGCACGGTATCACCCTTCGTGCATTAACCCTCTCATAACGTGGCATGGCATCACCCTTCGTGTATTTGTACTCAATCAATACCGAAACCGAAAATACGATAAGAACTATCAACATGACGATAAACTAGCATTACTAGGAATAGGGCCTGTGGCAACGAAAATTTATGCAACGGTAACAGAACCGTTGCCATACACTATATATAGCAACAGTTTTAACCGTTGCCAAAAGGGCTGGAGGATCTCGCTACTCTTTAATAATCAACCCGTTGCCATTGTGTAGGAACCATTGCCATAGATCTTACTGTAGCAACGGTTGTTACAAACGTTGCAATATTTGTATCTATTGGCACGGTGTTGGGGAAAAATTACCTATGGGGACGGTTATGGGTTTCCTCCTTATTTTCCCTCTTCTATTTTGCCAAACCCGCCAAAATCTTTTCCTTAATATTTTTTTTACTCTTATTTATTATTGAAAATATAAAACATCAGCTTTTTCATTCCCTAAACAACTTGTACGCTATCAGACCCTAAACCCACTTCCTCTCTCCCTAACCCACGCTAATTATTTCCCAATTTCATCTCCTCCCAATTTCACTCCCAATTTTAGTCCCAATTTCTCTCTCTCTCTCTCTCTCTCTCTCTCTCTCTCTCTCTCTCTCTCTCATCCAAATTTGTAACATAAACACTGCAATGAGGGTTCTTAGCCATGGGTGGAATTTAGCTTTGTAAAATTAAATACTCAATAGATTCACAAAGTAGCAGAATCGTGGGGTCTCAAAATCAGTTAGAAATCAATAGTTGAGATTTTGCAAAGTGTATTTGCATAGAAAAAAAGGTTGGGATCTCTTTCTACCATCAGCGTAAGTTTCCCTATTTTAGGCTAGTTTCAGAATTTCAATTTTGTTTGTGATTTTTGTTTGCATGCACACAAATTGGTGGTCTTACTTTTTTATTTTAATTTTATATGCATTTTCTTTATGAGAGTATTTGATTTATTCAGTAATTACAATTAGAAGCGAGTTTTCTGTTGGCAGATTCACCGGAAAAGATCGATTCCTTGAGCGTGTTCACACAATTAGTTTCTCAGTTAGCTTCAACCGCGAGAAATTCCCAAAAGGCACACTGTGAGAAATCGCTGGCTGGAGAAGTTGTAAGTTCTTATTTTCTTATTTAGATATATTGGTTTTCTTTATTCTTTAGTCTTTTGGGTATCAGTGGTGTATATGTTGCTTTAGATTTATGATTTGAACCAAAATTGGTATGCTAGGCTTTGAATCGTTTGTTCTTTCAAAACAAAAAGGAATCATTTTTTTTTGGCAATCCAATAGGCAAGTTCCTAGGGCTAGTTTTTATATATATCTAAATAAAACAAAAACAAAACAATGTGATGAAGAGTCATACCAACTGTAAAGACATAGGTCCTATTACCTAAATTGAGCAGGTTATACTCAATTAAGATAGTACATTTTGAACTAAGTAATACTTTGTAAAGAAGTCTAGGAATGTATAAAAGTTCATGAATAAAAACTAGCCCTAATAATTTCATGATAAGTAGATACTCAATTGTCCAGAATTGTGGTCGTCTTTGCCTAGTGAGTTGATCATTTTGCTCCATGTTTGCCCAGCAATATCCTGTCCAGCTCAATAACCTTCGATCATCAATCTCTAAATAACCTGCAATGTGATAGCACACAGCCAACTCCCTTGCACCAGCTATTTTTCTCTGTTGCACCAGTACATCGTTTAATGTTGCGTTTTTCTTGACAAAAACATATGCTTTCCAGCAGCACCTTGATGATATGGTACTGCCTCCTCAACCCATCTAATAGTCTCATTCTTAATTGCCAAAGGTGCATGTCTGCCATAACGTGATACATGACATATCTGGGCAGCCTTCTATTATAATTGCCTATTTGAATGTCCCTACCTTGTAACTCTAGAGTACAGCTACTGTTGTGTATTTTAGGACCTAGGACATATCTATGAATGATGGAAAAATTTCACTTCCAACTCCTGTCAATAATCTGTACTGTCCTCCAGTTTCTCTCTTTTATGCTTGTGCCTATCTTTGATTTCCTCCCAGTGGAATGAGTACATAGTACTGATACCACCAACTGGGAGTTCCTCAAAGGATATTGCATAGGTACAGTATCGTCTCCTGCAAAAAAGTAAACGACGTCAGAATAAAACCTGATCACGATGTTCTCTTCCATTTGGATATGATCATAGTGATCTCTTGTGTGATCTTCTTGAGAATCCAATTCTGTTGTGCTAATGTTTGCCTGGCTCCCTGTATATGATGTTTGTTTCACATCATAGACATGTATGGTTAATTTTCATAACTGTATCATCCACTTGAATTCCTTTTTTACTAATTTCAGAAAATCTGGAAAATCCAGTGTCAACAGAATATGCACAAATGTGATGCTGTCCTGTTTGCAATTTAAATCTTGAGACCTCCAGCCTTTTATTTTTATATTCTTTGTATTGCTCCATTTTTGGGATTCATTGTGACCAAAATGAACTGACCAGTGACTTTCCACTACCATTGAAAATACTCGTCGCAGTAGAATGATAAATAACCGTTGCAATAGATTGCTATAAGGCAACGGTTTTCCAAACCGTTGCAGTAGAGGTACTGCAACACGACCTAGTTAGACGGACGCAAAAACGTTGCAATAGCTCTATGGCAACGGTTTTCTTATGTACCGCAACGGTTTTCTATGCGTTGCCATAGGTTTATTATCCAGTAGTATAGTCTAAGCATGAGTAATATGATCACGGAAAGCTACAATTTCATGAATAAGAC